AATTTCAAAGCTTTTTTTTTGCGAGAAATGACAACAGATTGCATTATAAAAATTTTTGAAATTTGTTTTTTTTTAGGATTTTTTGGGGAGAATAAGAGTCAATAAAAACAAAATTGTAAAACATATTGCAAATCACCTCTGAAGATTAATAGAACCATCATTCATCAATATGTGAAAAAATCATGACACTCCTATTATTACTGTTTGAAAAAAAAAAATTAAACAAATGTTAACAACTTATTCTTGAGTCATTCATATTTTTGTTTCTATAAAACTCTATGGACATGGCGCGCCAAACCTGAGCGTGCTGCAAACCCCTATCATTGACAAGCCAGAGGCAACAGAGCAGCAACAACTCTGCGCTCTTCATTTTAGTCCTCAGGAGAACTTGCCATGTTGAGTATTTAACATAAGAACATAACATAAGAACGAACGAACACTGCAACAGGTCTACTGACCCATGCAGAGCAGGTCCATGTTCCCCCCGGATTAGCCTAATGACCCATCCAGTCTGGTCACCTCCACTCAGGGAAGGAGCACGGCACCAGACCCAGCAGCACAAGCTAGTCAGGTCCAACTCTCGCCCACCCGCACCCACTCATGTATTAATCTAACCTATTTTTCAAACTACACAACGTTTTAGTCTGAATAACTGTACTCGGGAGTTTGTTCCACTCATCCACAACTCTATTACCAAACCAGTGCTTTCCTATATCCTTCCTGAATCTGAATTTTTCCAACTTGAATCCATATATGCAAGTCCTGCCTTGGCTGGAAATTTTCAGCACGCTATTGACATCCCCTTTATTTATTCCTGTTTTCCATTTATACACCTCGATCATATCCTCCCTAATTCTACGCCTTTCGAGAGAGTGCAGATTCAGGGCCCTCAGTTTATCCTCATAGGGAAGATTTCTGATACATGGGATCATGTTTGTCATCCTCTGTACGTTTTCCAGAGCATTTATATCCACTCTGTAATACGGTGACCAGAACTGAGCAGCATAGTCTAAATGAGGCCTAACCAAGGATATATAGAGTTGAAGAACAACCTGAGGACTTCTATTATTTATACTTCTAGATATGAAGCCAAGAATTCTGTTAGCTTTATTGCAAACACTAATGCACTGTTGTCTTGGTTTTAGATTACTGCTAACCAGAACTTCTAAATCCTTTTCACAACCAGTAGTATTAAGATCTACAAATAACAAAAAAAGGCACAATACCGTGACTGGAACGATACACAAATAAGCCGCACATAAAAGAGAGAAGCTTACGAAGACGTTTCGGTCAGACTTGGACCATTTACAAAGTCACACTAACCAGAAGTGGAGTAGGACGGCTACCATCAATGTGCAACCTTCACTCTGGCTCCGCTATGTGGATGACATCTTTGATCTGTGGCCTCATGACTCCAGTCTCTTCCAACTTTTTCTTGAAGCCCTTAATAATCTTGCCCCTTCCATTAAGTTTAAAGCTGAATGGGAATCTAATTCCTTGATGTCCATGTCCACCGCTCAGATACAGGTTTTTCCTTTTCCGTTCACCGAAAACCTATGCACAGTGGCATGTACATTCACTACTTTTCCTATCATGCTTCTCCTGTCAAGGAAAGTGATCTTATCTCCCTCTTTCTCCGTGCCCTCCGCATCTGTGATCCTCAGTTCCTTCCAGCAGAAATTTCCACTCTTCATAATTCGTTTTCCCGTCTTGGCTACCCTTCCCATTTCATAGACTCTGCCCTCTCACGTGCTAAACGTAATTTCTTCTCTCCCAAACTCTCTACTCCTGGGAACTCTTCTGTCCTCTGCCTTCCCTACATTTCTGGTCTTTCTAATCTCAACAACTCTCTCCGTCCCTTAGACATCAAGCTTACCTTCCGCCAGACCAACACTCTTCGCACTAATCTCGTTCATACCTCTCCTCCCTCTACAGATGTTCCTGGTGTCTACTCTATTTCTTGCTGCTCCTGTCCTCTTCAATACTTCTGAGAAACTGGTCGATCTCTTTCTGACAGACTTAGGGAGCACAAAAATAGTGTTAGGCTTGCCGACACTAACAATGCTCTTTTCTGTCACGTCAAAGATCATAGCCATCCTATTGACTGGTCTTCTGCTAAAACTGTCTTCCCTACTTCCAACTCGAACAGTCGCCGTCTAGTTGAATCCTCTCTAATACACAACTTTCCTTGTATGAATCTTAGCCCTGGCTTCGTCTCTGTAGATGCCTTCCTCTCCCACTACATTGTAAAATGCTCCAAACTTCAGAACACCCGTGACTTAACCTGACTCCTCATTTTTTCTGTTTCTTTTTCTTCTTCTCCCTCTTCCCCTTTCCTCTTTCCTTTTTCTCCTCTGGGTTGTCTTTCTTCCTTCTGTCTCGTGTTTCTGTGCCTTCTTTATTTATTTCACCACTTCCCCTTTCACCCACCTCTGTGCACTTGCTCTCCCTCCGTGGGCACCTAGCTCCCTTGCAGTGCTCACCTTTCTTTGTATTTGACTGGCTCCTCCTCCTTATTCCCCACTACTACCACTACCACTACTACTACTACTACCACCACCACCTCTTCCTGCCTATATATAGCCATCCTGCTCCACTTCTGGTTAGTGTGACTTTGTAAATGGTCCAAGTCGGACCGAAACGTCGTCGTAAGCTTCTCTCTTTTATGTGCGGGTTATTTGTGTAAGATCTACATTATTTAGTTTTTATGTGGCATAGTTATTTACCTGTCCAACATTTAGAACTTTGCATTTGTCAATATTAAACTGCATCTGCCACTTCTCCGACCATTGCATCAGTCTATTCAAATCATCCTGGAGTGCTCTAGTGTCCTCATTAGAATGAATTGGACGGCCTATTTTGGTGTCATCAGCAAATTTGCTTATGTCGCTATTTATTCCCTCATCTATGTCGTTTATGTAAATTGTGAACAACAACGGGCCCAACACTGACCCCTGAGGAACACCGCTTGTGACGTGCCCCCATTCTGATTTCTCCCCATTTATACAAACTCTCTGCTGCCTATTTGTCAGCCATGCCTATACCCAGGCAAAAATCTCTCCTCCTATTCCTTGTGCCTTAAGTTTCCTTAATAGCCTCTGGTGTGGAACTCTATCGAAAGCCTTACTGAAGAAACAATCATAGCAATAGTAATTTCTGGAGTAAAAAAAAATAATAAAAACACTAATTGCCAACATGTCCTCTTGATGACAGCAAAAACATAAAAATTACATTTTTGAAAAAACATACTTAGAAATATGATAGAAACAAGCTGACTGCATCAACATGCTGCCAGAATTTTGCACTATTTTTTTGGTAAGAAAACCTTAATTTCCATAATTTTTCAACTTCAATTTTAAAATCTCTAAAACAAAGGGCATCCATCCCTTAACGTCACCTGGACAAAGAAATATGGGAACTATAAGAGTCAACAATATACTGGAGAACTATATGCAGCAGAGATGATGGAAGTACTAGGCTAAGTGAACACTGCATGACATGAAAGTACTAGGCTAAGTGAACACTGCATGACATGGAAGTACTAGGCTAAGTGAACACTGCATGACATGTAAGTACTAGGTTAAGTGAACACTGCATGACATGAAAGTACTAGGCTAAGTGAACACTGCATGACATGGAAGTACTAGGCTAAGTGAACACTGCATGACATGTAAGTACTAGGTTAAGTGAACACTGCATGACATGAAAGTACTAGGCTAAGTGAACCTTGCATGACATGGAAGTACTAGGTTAAGTGAACACTGCATGACTTGGAAGTACTAGGTTAAGTGAATCCTGCATGACATGGAAGTACTAGGTTAAGTGAATACTGCATGACATGGAAGTACTAGGTTAAGTGAACACTGCATGACATGGAAGTACTAGGTAAGTGAATACTTGACATGACACTGGAAAGTACTAGGTTAATGAATACTGCATGACATGAAAGTACTAGGTAAGTGAACACTGCATGTCTATGAGACATGATAGCACTAGGCCAAGTGAACACTGCATGCGTATGAGACATGATAGCACTAGGCCAAGTGAACACTGCATGTCTATGAGACATGATAGCACTAGGCCAAGTGAACACTGCATGTCTATGAGACATGATAGCACTAGGCCAAGTGAACACTGCATGCGTATGAGACATGATAGCACTAGGCCAAGTGAACACTGCATGTCTATGAGACATGATAGCACTAGGCCAAGTGAACACTGCATGTCTATGGACATGATAGCACTAGGCCAAGTGAACACTGCACATCTATGAGACATGATAGCACTAGGCCAAGTGAACACTGCATGTCTATGGGACATGATAGCGCACTAGACCAAGTGAACACTGCACATCTGAGACATGATAGCACTAGGCCAAGTGAACACTGCATGTCTATGGGACATGATAGCACTAGGCCAAGTGAACACTGCATGTCTATGAGATACACTAACACAAATATCTTAAAGAGTGGTAGGCACTGAGAGAACATATTCCATCACACAGTTACAACAGAAAAATAGTGCATTAGGATGGAAGCTATGCTGTAGGTAGGTCAGGTCAGGTCAGGTCAGGCGCAGAACTGAAGACTAGCAACTAGGTCACGTGATTATGTGACCAAACTACAACTTCATATAGTTTACTCACAATAAGTGAGAACAGGTTCCGTGGTATTAAGTAACAAGAATGAACCTTAAGGCCGCAGGCCGCCGTGTCTGAGCCTAAATACACCAGAAAATCGAAAAAATATGAAAAATGAGTTAATCTTACCAAAAAATAGAGCAAAGATCTGGCAACATTTTGGTGTGCGCCTCGTCTCTGTACGATAATTACATATAAAGCTATCGTAATTATAACAATGGCAACTAAGTCATCAGCATGACGCGGCCCAGCTGACCATAACAAAAACACGTGCTCCAGCGCGACTCGCTTCATAAAACAGTATCACAGGTATTTTTTTCCTTTTTTTTTTTGGTGTATTTTTTAGCTAGATCTTCTAAATAGTAACTGGCAACATCAGGTTAGCTGTGAGAAGGAGCTGCTCACACCATATGAAGTCAGTGCCGACTGGAAGTCTGAAGAGAGGGGGGTGTGTCACTTTGTCTGACAGCTGACTACCCTTGGGACGTTACTTTTTGCCTTTCATTGTATACATTTTTGGTACACAATGCCTGCAAAGAAGAAACAGTTTGCCAAGAACATTAGCAGCAAGAGGAAAAGGCACATAGAAGCAATGATAAGGTCTATACAAGCTGCTGTGGTTGGTGATGCCGCCACGATGCTAGTACCACCACCCTCCTCTCAAGACCTGTCCTTGTTCACTGCTACTGAACTATTGGATATTTCACGTTCAGAAACAAGGAAGACAAAATATAGGAGCCCCGCAAATATGCCCACCTCCACCACGGCTGCTACTACCACAACTACTACCACCACGGCTGCTACTACCACAACTACTACCTCCACTGCTGCTACTACCTCCACTGCTGCTACTACCACAACTACTACCTCCACTGCTACTACTACCACAACTACTACAGCGTTGTATTAAAGGCAGAACGCAAAACTGTAATGAAAGTCTGCATCACCGCATATGGTGTTACTGCAATAAAGCCAAATATCAAACCAAGAGGCATGCTGATTTCGCAGTCAGCCATGCTGTTGCTGACTACAATAGTGGATATGTGAGGAGCTGTCTGGACACAGCACTGGGCTACAAACGTTCAGCAGTGACTCAAAAACAACTTGAATTAATGGAGAAGAACATGAAGGAACAACGGAAGCAAAGAGGAATGAAGAGGAAAAGGGAGCTGGACACGTCCTACGAGCCTGGAGGACATTAGATAATCATGTGTCCACCTACATCCAGTCATAGGTACGTAATTATTAGTGTTTTTTTGGTAATATTTTTATATTGGTATGTGTATAAATATCATATATGGGTGCAATTACATGTATCTGTACATAATCACTGGGAATAATCACTGGGAATAAGATTTTGAGAATTCATTTCTTTCTTTTCAGATTGATTGGGATGGATTTTTATGATTGGCCGGCCACCAGAGAACTTCAGGACAAAGGGATCTTCATGAAACTTCAGGAATAATGTCTATATAACCAGTTCTACTCTCAATAAACGTATAAAGGCACTATGAGTATTTTTACCCACTGTATAGTAATGTTCAATGTATTTGTTGATTTTTTTCAAAAGTGCATTTATTTGTATTTTTCTGAGGTAAAACCATTATTTATGAACCGATCATTTTGAATTTTACAAAAGTTGTTCAGGCGACCCTGTTTGACTTTCTAATGGAGTTGTCTTGGGTAATAATCCCTTCAATTTTGCATAAATTGATGTAAAGTGCAAAAAAAAAAATTTAAATAAAGTCAAAACATAATAATATTTTTTTTGGGTACCATAAAACATGTTATTGCATTATTTATATCCATTAGAAAGTCAATTTGGCATTACTTTATCATTTGTGATTATCAACAATGATTTCGAGATTGCCAATATTGACTTACGTTGCTATAAGTGTTGCCATGTCCAATTTTTCACATTTTTATTTTTTATAACTTTATTTATTGGACGATCTTGATGCAACTTTCACCACATGAGGCTCAATATGCCTAAAGTCTCTGGTAAAAAAATCAACGAAATCGAGCAAAGGAAAAAAAAAAAAAATTTTAGGCTGCCTTCATATAGTTTACTCACAATAAGTGAGAACAGGTTCCGTGGTATTAAGTAACAAGAATGAACCTTAAGTGGTGAGGTGGGTTGGAGTGAACCTCTTACTGGTAAGATGGATGTAAGAGTGAACCTCTCATTGGTGACGTGGGTTCAAGAGTGAACCTCTCAGTGAAGCGAGGACAAGAGTGAACCTACCAGTGAAGCGGGGACAAGAGTGAACCTCTCAGTGGTGAAGCGGGGACAACAAGAGTGAACTTCCGAACTGGAAAATTAGCAGAAAACCCGTGTTTCTTTGTGCTTGTTTGAACTTAAGAGTGGGTTGCGGGTGAACTTCTCGCAGCACCCGTCTCTCCAACTTGTCCTCACGGCACATTTCCTGCAGCAGCAGCAGCAGCGCCACCGCCCGCCAGGTTACCAGGATTTTTCAAGTTGTTGCCAATCAGTTGTGTTTAGCAAAGTTATGGAGGGAGTATTAGAGGATCATCTGGAGACGGTGGGAAGAGGAAGATCCTGATTCTCTTTCTCCCACCTACATGATCCTGGTGCTCCTTCTCCCAACCATAATTTTTAAAGGGGTGGACCGGTAAGCCAGCGGAAGGCCTCGGTCAGATGACCAAAAGCTCCAAAGGCGGGTCATCATCTGACTAAGACCCGCGTCAGGAAACATTTGTCCTGTTTCCTGACGAACCTTACCTAACCTAACCTCCTTCTCCCACCTACATAATTCTGGTGCTCCCTCAGCATGATCCTGGTGCTCCTTCTCCCACCTACATAATTCTGGTGCTCCCTCAGCATGATCCTAGTGCCCTTACAAGATCCTAGTGCCCTCACATAATCCTAGTGCCCTCAAGATTCTAGTGCCCTCACATAATCCTAGTACCCCAACATAATCCTTGTACCCTTATAGGATCCTAATGCCCTTACATGATCCTAGTGCCCCAACATGATGCTAGTGCCTTCACATGATCCTAGTGTCCCCAACATGATCGTTATGCCCCACCCTGATCCAAGTTCCCCACCCTGATCCTAGTTCCCCACCCTGATCTTAATGTCTCCACCCTGATCCTAGTGCTCCCAATATGATCCTAGTGGCCTCATATGATCCTAGTGGCCTCATATGATCCTAGTGCCCTAACATGTTTCTGGTGCTCCACCTACATAACCCAAATGCTCTCACGTGATCCTAGGGACCACATGATCCTGGTGCTCCCAATATGATGCTAGTACCCTCACATGATCCTAGTGTCCCCCTCCCACCTACATGATATTAGGTAGGCAGGTCGTTCACCACTATCTTCAAAAAATATGACCATATGCAACACAAGAAAATCACAAACTTAGCAATCAATATTACTATAAACATGAATAAATTACACAACACAAATATATACTATCTCCCACCGAAAGACTCCAACCGCGACAATCCCAACGCAACTGAGCAACCTAAACTACTACCCACTCACTGTTCCCTCCGCCACCAACCCCCACATCACAAACCTCACCCAACAGCTGTCCCTTATGGGCATTCTGACCCCACCCCCATCATCACAAACCCCACCTACACCACAGCCCCCATAGGCCCCCACCAAGGCTCTCGCTCCCCCAACCCCAATATTCTTGCAGGACCACAGTGATAGAAAAGAAGCTGAAAGTTTGGTACACAAACGCGGACGGAATAACGAATAAGCATGAGGAGTGGCACGAAAGAATCAGTGAGAAATCTAGACATCATAGCAGTCACAAAAACAAAACTAGCTGAGACAATAACAGACGCAATCTTCCCACCGGGATATCAGATCCTGAGGAAAGATAGGAGGAGTAGAGGGGGAGGAAGGGTTGCACTGCTCATAAAAAACTGATGGGGATTTGAGGAAATGGAAGGCATGGACGTGATTGGAGAAAGAGACTACATAGTAGGTACAATTCAGTCTGGAGAACATAGTCATTGGAGTGATGTATAACCCACCACAGAACTGCAGGAGGCCAGAAGAGGAGTACGAAGAAAACAACAGGGCGATGGTGGACACACTGGCTTAGGTGGCAAGAAGAGCTCACTCGAGCAGAGCAAAGTTACTGGTAATGGGCGATTTCAACCACAGGGAGATCTACTGGGAAAACCTGGAGCCACATGGGGGTCCCGAAACGTGGAGAGCCAAGATGATGGATGTGGTACTTGAAAACCTCATGCATCAACATGTCAGGGACACTACCAGAGAGAGAGGGGAGGATGAGCCAGCAAGACTGGATCTTGTGTTCACCCTGAGCAGTTCAGACATTGAGGACATCATTTACGAGAGGCCCCTTGGAGCTAGCGATCACGTGGTTCTGAGTTTTGATTATATAGTAGAGTTAGAAGTTGAGAAGGTAACAGGAATTGAATGGGAAAAGCCAAACTATAAAAGGGGGGATTACACAGGTATGAGGAACTTCCTGCAGGAGGTTCAGTGGGACAGAGAACTGGTAGGAAAATCAGTAAACGAGATGATGGAATATGTAGCAACAAAGTGCAAGGAGGCAGAGGAAAGGTTTGTTCCCAAGGGAAACAGAAATAATAGGAAGACCAAAGCGAGTCCTTGGTTTACCCGAAGGTGTAGGGAGGCAAAAACTAAGTGCACCAGAGAATGGAAAAGGTACAGGAGGCAAAGGACCCAGGAAAATAAGGAGATTAGTAGAAGAGCCAGAAACGAGTACGCAGAGATAAGAAGGGAGGCCCAGTGACAGTACGAAAACGACATAGCATCGAAAGTTAAATCTGACCCGAAACTGCTGTATAGCCACATTAGGAGGAAGACAACAGTCAAAGACCAGGTGATAAGGCTGAAGAAAGAAGGTGGAGAACTCATAAGAAACGATCAAGAGGTATGTGAGGAGCTCAACACGAGATTCAAGGAAGTATTTACAGTGGAGACAGGAAGGCCTCTGGGGGGACAGACCAGATGGGGACACCAACAAGGAATATACCAACAAGTGTTGGACGACATACATACCGTTAGGAGGAGGTGAAGAAACTGCTAAGGGACATCGATACCTCAAAGGCAATGGGACCGGACATCTCCCCGTGGGTCCTTAGAGAGAGAGAGAGCGGACATGCTGTGCGTGCTACTTACCACAATCTTCAACATGTCCCTGGAAACTGGGCAACTACCTGAGGTATGGAAGACGGCAAATGTAGTTCCCATTTTTAAAAAAGGAGACAGAAAAGAGGCACTAAACTATAGACCTGTGTCACTGAAGTGTATAGTATGCAAAGTTATGGAGAAGATTATCAGGAGGAGAGTGGTGGAAAATCTGGAACGGAACAAGAGTATAAACGCCAACCAGCACGGATTCATGGAAGGCAAATCCTGTGTCACAAACTTTCTGGGGTTTTATGATAAAGTAACAGAAGTAAGACACGAGAGGGGTGGGTTGATTGCATCTTCTTGGACTGCAAGAAGGCCTTTGACACAGTTCCTCACAAGAGATTAGTGCAGAAACTAGAGGATCAGGTGCATATAACAGGAAGGGCACTGCAATGGATCAGAGAATACCTGACAGGGAGGCAACAACGAGTCATGGTACGTAATGATGTATCACAGTGGGCACTTGTGACGAGCGGGATCCCATAGGTGTCGGTCCTAGGACCAGTGCTATTTTTGGTATATGTAAACGACATGATGGAAGGGTTAGATTCAGAAGTGTCCCTGTTCGCAGATGATGTGAAGCTAATGAGGAGAATTAAATCAGATGAGGACCGGGCAGGACTTCAAAGAGACCTGGACAGACTGGACACCTGGTCCAGCAACTGGCTTCTCGAATTTAATCCTGCCAAATGCAAAGTCATGAAGATAGAGGAAGGGCACAGAAGACCGCAGAGTATAGGCTAGGTGGCCAAAGACTGAAAACCTCGCTCAAGGAGAAAGATCTTGGGGTACGTATAACACCGAGCATGTCTCCGGAAGCACACATCAACCAGATAACTGCTGCAGCATATGGGCGCCTGGCAAACCTGAGAACAGCGTTCCGATAAGGAATCGTTCAAGACACTGTACACCGTGTACATCAGGCCCATACTGAAGTATGCAGCACCTGTTTGGAACCCGCACTTGATAAAGCATGTCAAGAAACTAGAGAAAGTGCAAAGGTTTGCGACAAGGTTATTTCCAGAGCTAAGGGGAATGTCCTATGAAGAAATGCTAAGGGAAATCGGCCTGACGACACTGGAGGACAGGAGGGTCAGGGGAACCACGATAACGACATATAAAATACTGGCCGGAATAGACAAGGTGGACAAAGACAGGATGTTCCAGGGAGGGGACACAGAAACAAGAGGTTACAATTGGAAGTTGAAGACACAGATGAGTCAGAGAGATATTAGGAAGTATTTCTTCAGTCACAGAGTTGTCAGGCAGTGGAATAGCCTAGAAAGTGACGTAGTGGAGGCAGGAATCATACGTAGTTTTAAGACGAGGTTTGATA